ACTTATCATACTCTAATATTCACAATAGAAACATACTCTTGTTGTCACAGTACCAGTTGTTGGTGGAGTTGTCGTTGTTGTTGTTGTACTTGATACACCTGGATCCCAAATGTTGAAATTCCAAAAGCTTGTATCTAGAATTAGAGAAAAACATTTCATGGAATGTCTCACATCATAAGAATTATTAACACAGCTACCTGTAATAGGATCTGATTCAGGATTACAAAATATATTACCAGATGCAGCTCCACTTGAAAATAAAATATAATAATTAGCACCATAAGTCCAATTAGCATTTCGAACATAGAAAAGAACAGTTTGTCCTGAATAGATACAATCTGATGAATAACCACAATCTGCTTGCCATTCAGCGCACGATGAATTTGCTTTGTTAAAGATTTGAATGTATGTTCCATTTCGACTAGGACGATAAACATCACCTGTGGCTTTAACACACATGAAAAGTATATTCAGTAATAAACAAATTCGAAAATAATAGTTTACCTTGAATACTGAATAAAGAGTGATTAGCAAAAACTGTACCCAATGGTGAAGCCGATCCTGAAAATAATGAAAATTTTCTAAAATCATTAAGAAAAGAAAACAGATGAAAACCTTGTACAAGTGTTGGAGTGATCAGATTTGGTGGAAGATAGCCAACAACAAAACTAATACAATATTGTGATCCAGTCAATTTCTTTTGATCAATAGGAGCAGCACAAAACACCTGATCATATTGTAATTCAGACTTTTCTCATCAGTACATAATAAAACTTACTTGAGGTCCTATCTGATCAGTAGTTGGTGTCCATGTGAGTGTAATGTACCATTGATTAGTAGTACCAGTAACACGTGCTTTAGCTGTTTTTGTCATATATAAAGGCGAAATAGTAATAAATTCATCGATGTTATCACCAGTACAATAAACAGCAGCAACAATTCGTTCAACATGTTGTACACCAGGTAAAACACCTATAAATCGAATATATCATATAGAAATGACTTTGATATTCATATCTTACCAATACAAGCTCGATTAGGACGATCACCAATGATTGCAGGAATAACACTACAAGCTCCAGATGCAGGTTGATAGGTATAAATAAGCCTAATTAGAGGAAAGTATGATGAAAGATAATGATTGAATGAGATGAATATGTTTACATTTGTAATGGAACTGAACTCATAGGAGTAGTACTTGCACTATTGACAAAATCTTCTACCATGATTGCTACTACATAAGTGCTTGTAGTTAAATGCGCATCAACTGATCGTCGAACAGCATTCCATGTTATTGTGCATTCACTAGAGAATAAAGAAAATGAATTTTCGTTTCATAGAATTGAAGAATTTTGATGCACATCTATTGAAGTGAGCAAACTGACCTGGATGATAAATTAGCACCTGGTAAATTATTACATATATCACCACATTCATCTCCAGCAGGACCTGAACTATCAGCCCAACGACAACGAATATCATCAGTTCGATCCCAATCAGCTGCTGGAATCTGAATGATGGCTGTTTGTCCTTCAATGACACGAATAAGTGGTAGAGATCCAGTGACTGAAAAGTAATGT